GCAGGATGTAACATGATCTAGGTTCCTAGGTGCTGCATTCTGTCAGAAGTAGATTAGCAATGTGCATGAGGTGAATATTGTAAGATAACTGCCTTGTGGCAGTGCATACCATGGCTGTGTGCGAGAGTCCCTTCTTTATAAATACCAGTCTAATCCTGATGGGGTTAGGCTTGTTGTGGGAGGTAGTGTGCTTGGGGGTGGGAAGAAGGGAATCTGTTTTGTTGCCCAATCTTTGTCCAGGCAAAGAGCAGTACTAGCAGGCTTCAAACAGATTCTGCCCAGTATGCACTCGTCAGAAGCATAGTGACCTTTTTTGTAAGGGCTGGTAAAAAGTAGGGTTAAAATAGGACTAAAAATCGAGGATGGAGTTTTGGAGGCTCTGTCAAATGTGGAGGAATCTTCAGAGTGTGTTTAGAAGCCTGTTGAGTCCTGATGGATGCACTAAATGTCCCCTCTCCCAGCACCTTGCTTGCAAATTAAACTTTCTTTTGAGTCTGGCTCCTCTCATTTCCTTCTCTGTTTTTGTCAACAGAACTCCAAGATGTCCACTCTGACTGCAGTAGTTCCAGACATTCCAGGTTTCCGTAAGATTCTTCCTCGCTCAGATTACATAATTATCCCCAAAACCACTCTCCAAGAGGACAGGAGCAGACAGCCCCTAGAACTGTGTGTGGCACAGGGTCAGACTGCATCAGAAGGAATAACAGCTTCTACGAACATCACAGGCGTCTCCCAAGATGCAGTACAAAACATCCTTTCTGTCGACTCGAGCCATGTTGGCATTTCTGAGCAGTGCATTGCCATTGAAGGACTGGCAGAAGAGGCTGCCTCATTTGGTCAGTCAGACACTATAGAAGAAATTGTTGCCTCAGAGATTCTTTCTCATTACGTCAGACCCATAGCAGATAAAGTGACTGGAGATATCCTCTTGGATGAGGCTTCTGTGGAGATGGGAGAGGGGCAGCCATATCAGACGACCAGTGTGGTAATTGAAGAGACTCTGGTTAGCAGCTCCACAGACCTCTCCAATGGGAGCATTGCTGTGGCACGACCTCAGGTTTCAGACAGTCTCTCTGTGGTAACAGTGGTGACTGGGAGGGTAAGTTAAGCTAGTAACCACTGACAGCTTTATTTCTGTTAACTTGCTGCCTGCTTTTTTCCTGTAGTCTGCTCAACCAGCAGGTCAGTAGTGATGAAAGAACGTTTCCCTATTAAATCAGTCTGAAAAGGCTGGGGTGTTTCCCTATCTCCCACTGTTAGCCTAGGCTTCGAAAATGATTGCCCTAGGCTTTGGGATGGGTTCCATAGGGAGCATCTACACATGATAGTAATGTCACACAAAAAACTCAGGTGCAGTTCACGCTGGAATTTATTGCTCCCAGGCTCAGTGTTTGCTTGTGTGCCCGGGACTGCAGCACGTTGAGCCAGGGCAGAGAAGCTGCAGCTTGCAGAGGGCCTTGGAGATCAGCCTACCAGTCTAGGGCTGCTCTGACCCGGCTCAGTATGCTGCAGAGGGGCTGGCTAGGGCACGAGGGTGCTTCAGTGCGAGGTTAGCCAGCAGGCTGCCCTTGCACTGGAAGCACCCTCGTGCTTCAACTGGCCATGTCACTGTCTACACGTATGTTTTGCCTCATGTAACTACACTGCTGTACAACAGTACTTGTGTTGGGCAGTACTATCCTAGAGTGGAGTTAATTTATTTACTGTGGCCTAATAGTGCTGCATGTGTAGACAGTGATGCTTTACTGTAGAGCTAATTAGTCAACTCTGCAGTAAAGTGTCTTGTGTAGGTGAGCCCACAGAGACACTAGAACTTTATTTTGTGGGGTTCAAACACTTTCATTTCCCTGTCGAGTCCGGTCCCCATCCGTCTCCTTGTGTGTCCGTCGTCCGTCTCTCTCCCCTGCCCATTGGTTTCTTAGCTACAGAGGATTGGATGGGGATTCTTTTGAATTCTAGGGTGTTACTACTTGTCTGGCAAGGCTCAGCGAGATCAAGCAGCGTCTGCCCAGGAGCTGAGTGCATTGCTTTCGGAGTGCTTGTGACCTTTTCTAGACTGTGAAGAGATTGACAGTCTCATCAAATCTGCTGTGCAGCCATCGCTTCTTTGAACATGTCACTTGTACAATGGTGCCTCTGAGCATAGCTGTGTGATACACTCTGAAATCTTACATTGAAGGGACTCTTGACAGAAGTTTAGAATACAGCAGCATGTAGCCCTTGCTTGTTGTATAGCTTTCCTTTTCGTGATTTTTAGGATACGGAGGAGAGCAGCTCTTCCACGCCCCCTACACAATATATTATGCTGCCTTGGCCAGCTCATTCTGTTGTGGAGAACCCGACATCAATCAAACTGGTAAGTAAAGGAGGAGGTTGTGTTTCTCTCAGGCTTTCTTTGAACTACCACTTCTGCGATATCACTGAGCTTATCTATGTCAGTCTGTTAATGAGTGGTGGATAACATCTTCTGAGTCCTGGCCTAGACAAAACCTTAAAGAGTTTGATCATATTCAGCTCCTTATTCCTAACAAGATACATCACACTAATTGCGATTTCCTCTCTAGTTGGGAGGGTCTGTATGCTCAATGCAACAGGTTCAGATAAACTTAAATGAAGTTTTATAATAAATGCATAACACAGTCAGGACAGCGGCCTCTTGTGTTGTGTAACTTGGTATTCAGCTGGTGATGTGCTCTGCATGTTGTAAGGGGTATGTGAGCATGCTATATCAAATTGTCTTGGAACAAATATGTTGCTGCACTAGCATGTGCTCAATGTTCCAAGGTATTTTTTTCACACTTATAGGAGAATGAAATTTTTTTTTTTTTAAGTGGGAGGTTAGTTCCTGCAGGAGGAGGAGCATTTAATGACAAATTGCACAGCTGTGAAATTCCTGAGCCCTTGCACTAGCCCTTAGTAACAGGGCCTAGGACTCTGAACATAAATGTCCTGTGACACTGAATATTGCTAATCTTTTTGAGGGAAAAATACTTTCTGCACATTAGTTTATGCAAAATGTATAATATTACGTGGCTCATGGGGGTTAATTAGCTAATGTTCGTAACAGGGTTACCAGTAGAAAGTGTGTATGTATATGTAGTTCTGTAGAGAAATTCTTGGCAATCGTTTTGTTTTAGACAACGACCTATACCCGCAGGGGGCATGGAAATTGCACCAATCCTGGCTGTTCCTTCACTTACGTCACCAGGCACAAACCTCCAAAATGCCCGACATGTGGGAACTTCCTGGGAGGGAAGTGGATCCCAAAGGTATTGTCCCACATTGTAGATAACCTTGCTTTTTCTAGTGATTGATTTTCAGCTGGAGATTGACATTTGTATGAATACCTGTGAAATCCCAAAGCTTATAGCCTTGGCAAGTCAGAGAGATGCGAAAATGAATCGCTGTCCTTTTCTTTCCAAGTCTGTGTTGGAACAAGTTGCTGTTGACCATGATTTAGGTGGAGATTTGCAATGAGCTTGAATGATATTGCTTCTGCATTTTCTGCCCCTCTGCTGAAGATACTTTCTACACAAGTGGTATTAGTCTGAAAGAATGGGGGAAACCTTATAAGGCCCTGACCCCTTTATAGGGTTCAGTTTCCCCTGCTTGTGGTTTGACTCCACTTCTTGTAAGGTTCTCTTGTAGCAGCCATCAAACTGCACACAAAATCAAATGAGTTCAGACACTCCAGGATGTAAGTTTTTGAGGAGGCTTAATTCATGCAAGCTTCTATCAGTCCAAAAGGCTTTATTTGTGTCTCTCCTTAAATCGTCCTTATTCTTCTGTTGTATGGTAATTCACTGTGAGAGTTGGGTGCATGTGTGTGCACAAGTGTGTGCATTGCCAAACGCATTTTGTTTGATGACCAGGATTTCTGGGTGCTGCCTCGGCATAAAAAATGCACCCTGCACGTTTGCAGAAAACTAAACTGAAGTACACAGAGTGTCAAAAGCAAATGGCTTCTGTCTGAAAGTGGTGTCTCCTGGTGTGTTCCAAGTAACCCCTGAGGTGACTGGAACTGAAAGACATTAGAGGGAACATGTCACTTCTGCATTTTGACAGCATTTTTTGATTGTAAACAGCTTTGTTGTTTACAGTACAACCCTTTAAATAGCTGCATCAGTAGTTTTTGTTTAAACCAGTGCAAGGAGTACAGAGTTGAAGCTGGAAGTGAAAATATATGCATCTTGCTATCTAGTGAGGAAGGGGTTTGGCCTAAATGTCTGCATCTCAGGTCTTCCTTTAAAAGCTCCTTCATTGTAAACTGAGCATAAAAGCCTGTCTTTAAAGTGACTTGCCTATGAACCAGCAGGATTCATAGATGCTAGGGTCGGAAGGGACTGCAACAGATCATCATTGAGTCTGACCCCCTGCCTAGGCAGGAAAGAGATGACCCCCACCAGATGCCTATCCAGCTTTCTCTTAAAGACCCCAAAGGTAGGGGAGAGCACCACCTTCTTTGGAAGCCCATTCCAAATTTTGGCCACCTTTACCATGAAGAAGTCTTTCCTGATATCTAGCCTAAATCTGCTCTCTGTCAGTTTGTGACCATTGTTTCTTTTTACTCCAAGAGGCGCCCTGGTGAACAGAGCATCTCCGATCCCTTGCTGCGTCCCCTTAATAAATTTGTAGGCGGCCACAAGATCCCCTCTCAGCCTTCTCTTGCAGAGGCTGAAGAGGTCCAGGTCCCTCAGTCTAGCCCCTAACTATACGAGTGGCCTCCTCTGGACCCTCGAGTCTATCAACATCCTTCTTCAAGTATGGAGCCCAAAACTGGACACAGTACTCCAACTGCGGTCTGACCAGTGCCACACAGAGGGGAAATATCACCTCCTTGGATCTATTTGTCATGCATCTGCTGATGTATGATAAAGTGCGGTTAGCTTTTATGATGATTTCGTCACTGATGACTCATATTCATCTTGGAGTCCGCTATGACTCCAAGATCCCTTTCCGCTTCTGTGCTGCTGAGAGGGTCACTGTTGTGGATGTGCTGCCAGAACACGGCATTTCTCGGTGATCCTCCCTCTAACTCGGGTATCGCTAGCCCAGAGGGCCCAATTGTTATTTGGCCATTGTGAAGGAAACGCTTCTGATTTCCTTCTGTCTAGGATAAAATATCTTTCGAGTAGTTAACATTTCTTCTCTTGAGGAACACTTACTTCCTGAATTCCTCAAAATGAGTCTTTTTCCCAAGTGATTGCAGAACTCTGACTAGTACACACCGTTCTGGTCCAGCAAGGTTATACATACAAAAGCCAAACTGCGCATTCAGTTCATTTGAACTCTTAGACTGAGTTCAGAGGAAGAGACCGGTTTAGAGAGTTGGGAGTTGTGGAAGAAAGGGCTTCCCACTAGGAGAAAACTGTGGATGACTTATGCTATGAAGTAAGCAGTGCTGTGGAAATGGCATGATGGGACAGCTCTAATGCTAATGAGACATTGACTGTTTGAGGGGATATGTGTTTCTGTTTTTGTGTATCCTCAGACTCATACCATGTTTTTAAAATCGGTGTTAAGCAGTCCTCAGACAAGATTTGAATAGAATTCATTTTCCTATGAATGTCCTCGAGCTCTGAGGAATCTGGGTGTCTTTTTTTTGTTTTTGTTTTCAGGAAAAGCAACCCAAAGGCAAAGCTGAGCCAAATTCTGGTGTCTCTCTCAGAACACCAGCAGCTAAAAGAAATCAGCAGCCAGTAGTCACAGACCAGGCAACTGCTCGAGAAAATGCCTCCAGAGCTACTTTGGAAAGCTCTGAAGCTGTCAGCCAGCTCCTGAATGCTGTGCCTATTGGGGAACAGATGCAGGAGACTGAGTGGGAGGAAGTGATCATCTCTGAGGCTCACATCCTTGCAAACAATGTGCAAGCTGAAGACAGAGGGAATGCTGCTGCAGTGTCGCTGGCTCAGGAGAGCCATGTGCAGGGGGACACTTCCTTAGAACAGGTGGAAAAAGACAGTGCGGGGCTGGGGCTTCAACCATCCTCCGAGGTTACAAGTCCAGCTAACCCTGCAAAGAAGCCATTGGGGTGAGTCAGTTCCAGATAACTTTTATAGAGGTGTTGGTCTGTTACATGTGGCAGCGCTGGCAGTACTAATCCAGTGAAATATGTAAGCTTTTGCCAACGTCCTTGGTAAGACCTGCTCTATCCTGCCCTGTCCCCTGCCAGTATGGGGTTTCCCTTGGAGATGTTATTCTGTGAGTCAAAGCCAGCTTGCATGGTAAAGTGAATTACTGGGATAAATCTGAGGCCAGATTTGTTCTTTAATTCCCCACCCCTGCACAGTGTGGTGGGTACTGATTGTGCTTCCTTCTGGCCTGCTGTCTGCTTGCACTGCACTAATGTGCATACACTGTGTAACATTCATTGCAGCTGCTGCTCTTGTCTTTTAGAGTTGATGCTCCTGCTACTGTACACAAAGGACAAGAACTAAAGATCAAGCCAAGACCCAAACCCTCCTTGCTTGCAGCAGCAAGACCCATGAGAGCAATCCTACCTGCCCCTGCCAGCCTGGGGAGGGAAGCCAGCACAGAGCCTCCCAGCACCAGACAGGCCTTTCCAAATAATGGTAAGAGCAAGAAACAATTCATAATGTTCTTTGAAAGAAGTAGAGGCTTCTGAAATGTGGGCATAAGGAAGCAAATGATGCATAGTACGTGTCTTGATGTTGCAGTGTCTTCTGAGGAAACTTGATTTCCAGTACTTGTCTGAATCACCAATTATATATTGCTCACTGGTTTGTATTGTAGTGTCTAGCAGAAACTTTACACAATCAACCTTCAATGACAGAGCAGCTTCCCACCATTTGAGGTTGTAAGCTGCAAATTTCCAAAAGCTGCTTTGGTCACTTTTTGGGTTCAAAAAACAGCAGGTCCCATATGTGTCATTCCTACATTTGCACAAGCTCCTAGGATAGAACTAAAATCCTGGTAAAGATGCATCTTGCAATCTAACCTACAGTGTTCATCTCTTTTTCAAGATAAGCTTTCCCCTGTGAGAACCTCAGGCCTGAAGCCCAATACACTGAAGCAGCTGGGTCAGCCTGTCCTCCAGGCAACTAGTGCTGAGGAGCGAAAGGTAAGTGTGTTGCTTGCTTTTTGTAATGTGTATGCTCTCTGCATTGGATTGAATTGGCTGGGTACAAGGTAGGATTTCCAAAAGGACCTGAGTGTTGAGGAAATCTAGTAACGTCTTGGAGCTAGGATTTGTGACTAGTGCCACTTAGCTTTTGGTCTCTCTGAGGCAGAATAGGCTAGTGGCCTGAACACAAGACTTCTAAGCTAGGAAGTGCTGAATTCTGTTCGTGGTTATGACTGTTCCTCTGTCTTGGACTTTTTCTTCATATTACTGTTTTAACACTTCACTAGTTATCTCATAGGAGCATTTTGAGGGTCTCTTAGTGCTTGAGGGTGATGTGTGATAAGTACCGAGTGGTGTTCTTGCATTTGTTCTGTGAAAGAGTGCTGCATGGCTAGTGATATATGTAAAGATGTTGGAGTAATTCTAGTTTAAATTTACACTGTATACAAGCAGCATGCTAAAATATAGCCTGGCTTCATTTTAATGTCTTAATAGTTCTTGTTTGTGAGTGATGACTTGTGCATCCAGTACCAGATTTCTCAAATGTGTTTTCCTCTTTTATTTTCAATCTTACAGCTCCACAGTAGCTCAATCAGCGGGTCATCTCAGGTGAAAGTAGTGGAGGTTAAACCAGACGTATTCCCTTCCTACAAGTATAGCTGCACTGTGACTTTGGTAAGTGTCTTTGACAGTCTGTGGGAACACCAGCGAGCCTCTTGAGAAGTCGCAAGAGTCTTCAAAGGCAGTTGCTTTCATCTTCATCATTAGCTCTTTGGCTCTGATAATTACAGGTTTGAAAAGCAGTTGTAGGTGTTCAAGAAACCATTTCTGTATGTGGTCTCCTTTGAAGGTACAGCTTGGAATTTGGTGTGCTTTCATTTTGAAGCAAGTACTGTGTTGATGAAATAAGCTGCCCTAACAGCGTTGAAGTTTCCTATCTACAGCTTAGGGAATGATAGGGCAGACTCCTTGTATTATGTATAGCCTGTGCCTTGAAGGCTACCATTAGCAGGGATCAGGTAGGTCAGTCTCAATATTGGAATAATAGTGTCCTTGAGATTGCTTGTTACAGCAGTAGGTTTTGCGAAGCGGACATGCATCAAGTAGGAATTGGAATGAGAGGTCAGATCCAGCTCATAGTCAGGAGTTACATTGGCTTCCAAGAAAAATGATTCTGATGGTCTGGTAAAGTGAATTACTGGGATAAATCTGAGGCTAGATTTGTGCTTTAATTTCCCACCCCCACACAGTACAGTGAACTAGTGCCAAAAAAACAAAGGACTTGTCATATTATAAGTGCTCTGGGTTACACAGTCCTTTATGATTTGATTTCTCAGTTGGGTAGCTCCTCTGTTTTTTTTTTCTATAGGATAGCTCTAATTTGGGGTCTTTAACACTTTCTGGCTTGTATCTCCACTTGTCTGAGTGAGTCACCTCATGCATTGTATGTCTTCCATTGCTACCTACGCACTGAACCAGAACATTTTAGTGTTTTGATGAAATCCTGTTAGATACTTTATATCTTAACATAACCTTAATCCCTTTCTGGCATTAGTATGAGAGGGTTAAATAGGACTATTTCTGAATTTCTTTCCCCTGCCAAGTGACCATCAAATGAAGCCTAAGGTCTATAGATTAATTGAACTGTTCTAAAGTAAGTAGCCAAGCCTGCTTGAACCTTATAAACTATTTGAGATTTGGGGGGCACATCTTGAGAAAAGATGACAGTTTACTCTCAGGGGTCACATTCCTTCTGTGTCCTTCCAGGATTTGGGACTAGCAACCTCACGTGGCAGAGGGAAGTGCAAGAACCCATCCTGTAGTTATGTATACACGAACAGGCACAAGCCACGTATCTGTCCCAGCTGCGGCTACAACCTTGCCAAGGACAGAGCTGAGAAAACAGTGAAATCCCTGGTGAGTTGTCATCTTTCATGCTGAATTGAATAGATTGCCCTGGGGTTTGCTGCAGTCTCTTGAGTCTCTCTGTGTGTAGAGAACTGATTGCTACTGCAATATCTTGGTGTCTTCTAGTGCAGCGTTTTTCAACCTGTGGGTCGCAACCCAAAAGTGGGTCCCAAAAATATATAAAAGGGTTGCAAACAAACTTTAAAAATGGATTCTCCTTTAAAGGAGAAAAATGTGGGATACTGTGGCTTTTCCCTTGCAGGGTGTCAGAGTTCCAGGCTGCTTGGTGCCCCCCATGCCCTACACACTGCGGGGCTGGGGCATGGGGGCGGGGGACAGCAGGTTGGGAGTGAGGGAACTGGGTCAGGACTGGCCATCGATGTTTACAAATGAGTCCTGGTACAAAAAAGGCTGAAGAGCACTATTCTAGTGAACTAAATCATCAAAAAAATTGGGGAGGGTGATTGGAACACACTTAATTTTGACTGTAGTGAATATTTTTGAACTGGGGGAATTGGTGTTTATTTTGTTGGGGTCCCCCCCAAGGTTAAGGAAGAAACATCTTGATGATTACAGCATTTTAGTGTTTTCAGGCAGCTTATTGATCTTCACAATTTTCACAGGAGTGTTTTTTCACTTTGAATGAAACCGCAATCTCCAGTATTTTTCCTGAGGAAATGCTGAAGTTAATTTTGCTGACTCCTGTTAGAGGCTATTTTACCATCCTAGTGACTGTACTCTATTTTGAAAAGATATATTCAGATTGATAGTGATCACTTTTACCACTGGGTGCCTCCACATTTTTAACTCCCCCACCCCTTTTTCAGGGAAAGGACACATAAGAGAAACCCCTCTACATCTCACCTTGATGCTGCCTCTCTGAATTTGAGGTGAAAATTCCCAGCGAGTCTTATCTCTAAGTCATAGCAAATGTCAATTCACTTTGTCTGTTGTGAACAGCATCATTCTGTTTTCAGTGGCTTTTGATTCATACTCTCACTTTGACGTGTTGGTAGACGGAGCCTCGGCCTGGTTTTATTTCATCCTGTGAACGTTTTCACAACTGTCTTAGCTGCTTTTCATCTAATTTGCAATAGATTGCATAGAATGAAAATAACAAAACCTGTTACTTTATGACACTTGCTATTTGCCTCTGAGCCAAAATCTGCATTTTACAAAAGAAGTTTTGAAGTTCATCTCTGTGGGTTGTTGCTTGTGCAGAATTGGTTTGGACTTTCAAGAGGTTTTCCCCATTCCTGATTAGCATGCTCACTCAGCATGTAAGCTGGCTACATTCTAATTTGTGCATTTGATTTGAATCTTCCAGCTGCAATTTATTTTGAAGAACAAAATTATTTTGCTTGCTGTATAAAACAAACAAAAACCCCCTGCACTCGAATAATACCATGTGAAACCCACACATACACAGATGCCTAAGGAACCTTTCTTTCCTTTTATCTGCTTCCTTAATACAATATGCTGGTCTTGCATTTTGAGAGAGCATCTGTGTCCTGTTTCTTTGGGTTTTTTCTGGACTTTTTTTTTTTCCAGCCTTAGTATTCCTATCACAGACTTTGTTGTGCAGGAATCAATGCTATTTACAGTGCCCTTGGACAGGCCATTTATCTCATCACTGGACTAGACAGAAAACAAGCTGAAACGCTGGCCAGGGTGGTTTGTTTTACTGATTAAGTGGATTAGTCTGTTACTGTCTCTGCTTTGTTGAGCCCCATAGTGCTGAATTCCTGCATGATTCAGTTTGGATCTTGTGGGAGACTGGCCACTAGTGCTCAGATGAACCAGACTCCTGTATTTTATATTTATTTCTGTGTATTTGGTACTATGCTGTATACCTGTAGCTTTCTCTTACTTGGTTGCTTATTGCCTCCCTGGTTTTTTATCTTTTATAGACTATCTAGGATGGTTGAACATGTTGGAAAATTTGCACCATAGCCTACAGCTTAAGGAAATTGTGTTTAGCAGGAATGTTAAGTGTGTGTGTACTTTTGCAGCCATTGCTTATACTTGTTAAGCTATGGTAGCTTGTACAGTTGTCGTGCTGTACCTATGTATAGCAGTTGTAGTGAAGTGCTAAGTGGGCCAGCCACAAGATTCAGAGAGAGAATGGTGCCTGGGTACAAGATTGACATAGATTCTGTTCCAGTCTAACCTAAATTGATGCCTGTGCTTGGGTAGTATATTTACATGCGTGTCAGATCTACTGTTAGGTTCCAGGAAACAATGCTGTATTCCTTTGAATAGGAAGCCTGAGTATTTTGGCTTTTTGTAGGAGGTGAACTCTGGTCCCCCTGATGTGCTGAACACTAGTGAGCCTTTAACTCAGGCCCAGAAAGAGATCCAGCGCCAGTCCACGCTGCAGCTGCTGCGCAAGGTAATGCAGATCCCAGAGAACGAGTCAGAACTGGCTGAAGTCTTCGCACTCATCCATGAACTCAACAGCTCGCGGCTCATCCTGTCCAACGTGAGTGAGGAGACGGTCACCATAGAGCAGACCTCCTGGTCAAACTACTATGAGTCTCCATCTACGCAGTGCCTCCTCTGTAACAGTCCATTATTCAAAGGGGGACAGAAGTAAGATCCTGTTTTAGATTTGACTTTCATCATCAAACTGATGTTCTGTGTTTATAAATGTGTCTGAAGTAATGCTGCTTTATCCCCTTGATATCAAAGCCAGGGTAAACATTTTCATTTAACTTGCATCTCTGATGGAGCTTAGGGTTTTGTGTGAGCTGTTCTTTAGTATGTCCAGGTGGCGATTACAATCTCTCACATCTAGGGTTTGCTTTTGTATAGCAGAAACTCTTCATTGAGTGTTCAACAGGATTCAGCTCTGGATTTGACACTGACTGTTCCTCATTTCCTCTTCCTGATGATTTGCAGTGCATAATGAGTCTGAAAGATGCAATAATTTAAAATGGCAGGATTTTAGATGTGCTGTGGTAACTTGATGCTTTTCCCAGCCTCACTTCTTTGCCAGAGTGCTTGCTGTATGTGACCTGTTTATTTTTAATGGCTTGCGCACTGATTGTCAGTGTGCATATGATTCCAACCCTCTTCAGAACCTGGGCTGAGAATCTTGGAGTTTCTTCTCTCTGAGCATTGAATCACTTGCTTTCCCATTTCCTAAGCTAGTACCAGGCAGGTTTGTATACCTGGTGGATAAGTTTGTTCCTGCTTGTTCATTACAGTTCCCTCGCTGGCCCTCAGGAGTGCTGGTTGCTGACTGTTAACCGGTTACAGGTGGTTACTGCTCAGGTCAAGGTGTGTTTGAATCTGCAGTGCCTGGCCTTGCATAGCTTCACTGATATCTACACAGGTAGGAAAAATGATCAGTAGGTTACTCTATAGAGACACCAACCCGCAGAAGCTAGGGACTGAGGCAAAGTCCTTTTTTGAACCAAAAAGTGTTCTTCTCCCTACCTTGTCAGACTCTGTTTCTTTGACCGAGACTTGTACTGCTTATCCTCCTAGTTGACAGATGTCTGTGAATCACTAAAGTGGTGAATGCCCCACCTAACTGGAGCAGTCCTGTCTGGAAAAGAGTGACCGACTGTTCTGTGTTGTATACAAAATCACTGAAATATGTGGGATATGGAGCTGTAGGCTGTGGGCTGAGGAGATGGACAGTTAGTGTTCATTGCAGGTTTTCTATACAGGGTGCAGAGCTGGATTGACTTTTGTGCTGCATCGTTTCCAGCCATGTCTTTAAATTTAAGAAAACTCTCCAGAAGCTCTTTAGCCATGCTCTGTCTGACCCTCCAATCAAGCTTGGGTGGTTTGTTTGCTTAGCAGTAAATGAGAAGTGCTGCATTTTACACTGTGTTTGTGGGTTTCCAAATTTCGTTGTGGTGTTTAATTGCAGGCCTCTTCAATGTGGGCAACAAGCTGTTAGTGAGCCTGGACCTTCTGTTCACAATCCGCAACCACATTAAACTTGGAGAGGATCCCAAAGTGGCAGTTAGCAGTATCCTGGAGTCTGTGCAGGAGCAGACTGGTAGGGTTTTTCTCCTTCAGTTATTCTGAACTGGCTGCTTTCGCTGGGAACTTGCGGGGGTTGGAATCTTAATGTAATAATAATATTAGATGGGAAAAGTTGGTGAACTCTAGATTGGAAGGAGAGAGCTCAGCCCTCCTTGGGTTAGGTTTCTCTTGGGCTTTGGTTTTGGTAAAAGCTCCGCTCTGCATTTATAAAGGCAGAGTTCTCTTTGTCTATATACAAACCAATAGATTTCTCTGTAACTGTAGTTTCTTCACAGTTAGAGTGGCCAAAGTCTGGAATGGGCTCCCAAGGGTGGTGGTGGTGCTCTCCCCTACCCTGGGGGTCTTCAAGAGGAGGTTAGATAGGCATCTAGCTGGGGTCATCTAAACCCAGCCCTCTTTCCTGCCTATGCAGGGGGTCGGACTCGATCTATTGAGGTCCCTTCCGACCCTAACATCTATGAATCTTAACATAAGAAACATTAATGCTTCTGTATCAGAGAGAACTGTTTCTTTTTGGGAACTTCATCCCAGCGTTCTAGGGAATTCCTTCTCCTTTCAGTGACCATTGGTAGGTCAGCAGCAGAATGTAGTTATTTTGTGAATTGGCCTCACTTGACCAAGAGCAGCAAGAATAATGAGCAGGGGAGCTCATACAGGAGGTCTGGATTCCTTCTGCAAGCAGAAGACCCAGGCATCCAATGTAGAGACTTAGTAGTATGGTGGAGCTGGGCTGACAAGGGAGCTGGGTTCCAGCCAGGCTGTAAAGATAATCCCCACTGCCTGTGGGGATACAGCACAAAGAACAGCTATTGAACTTTATATGCTGGGAAAATGTAGGTGATGAGGCACCAGGGAACAGCCTGAGAACCAGGGGTGACGTGGGTATTTAAATATTAATAGTGTATTCTTTCTGAATATCCACCTGCTCAATCTTTGGTAGAAAATGAGCATATTCCATTAATTTCTTCCCCTCCAGGCAATGGAGCTGGTACCTCGTGGCTTCATAAAGAAGTGTGTTTAGCTAGGAGTTTCTTCTGATTAGTGCCAACAGTTTTCATTTAAAAATTATTCCTGGGGGTTTTGAGTGATTTTAAAATGATTGAGGAGCAGTAGGTCTAGTTGCAACATGTCCTTGTTGGTTAGGTTGAGTGTTTGAAGCTTAATTTTTATAGCTCTTCTGCTTTCAGAGGAGCCCTGTCCAACTTTTTCTTGAGAGGCTTTTTCCTTACTGGGGACTTCAGCATTAGACAGTCCAAAGGGGGGAAAAGAGATTTTAAGTTATTTTGGTGTCTCCAACTATTTCAAGGCTTCTCCTTGAAAATTTCTCCATTAGATCATGACTGGTCTATTTTATAGAAACCTCTTCATCTTTGGGGCTTTGAAATAGCTTTGTCTTTTTTTATTGAAGCAGCAAGCACTTCACTGAACAATTTTGTACAAATTTCAGCAAGAAATCATGGAGGATGGTGCTTGTTCTGAGCAGTAGCTCTGATGGTGGCTAGCTTTGCTACTTTTCCCTTTCCTTTTGGAAGTGAAGCCTCTGTGAATGCAGTTTGACTCAACAGTGCAAGTGGCTTTAAATAAAGCATTCTTTTCTTTCCAGAAAAAACTCTGAGCCCTGATGAACTGAGTCAACTCCAGGAGCTGCTGTGCAATGGCTATTGGGCATTTGAATGCCTCACCGTCCGGGACTACAACGATATGATCTGTGGAATATGTGGCATTGCACCCAAGGTGGAGATAGCCCAGAGAAATGAGGAAAATGTCCTGGCGCTGAGAAATGTTGAGGTATGTTGAGATGGTCTTCTTTTCTGCTAGCACTTCAGACTGCATTTGAGGGTTTTTTCCACTAATCCTGATTTTTAGTAACTTGTGAGGGTTACGTGTGCTTTTCTTCTGCTGATATCTTACAACAGGGTGTGACGTGGCTCACTGACATCCATTCCCCCTCTGAGTGGAACCCCCAGATCATAATCCTCTTGCTCTTGACTTGAAAGCATCCTCCCTTAATAGCAATTTCTCTGAGGTGTCACAGTATTTTTTCCCTAATCCAGAAGGAGGTGGTATGCAGCATTCCCTGTTCTCTAGCTGATTTAATCTACAATCTGTCATCTCCCATTTCTAAGAGAAGCAAGCCTGGGTGTTTTGATTAGCCCAGGGCAGGAAAAAGGAGCACGGTGTCTGCTTGGTTTGTTGGGCTGAGCAGTGTCCATGTTGGCCTTCCATCTCTTTTTCAAATCAAAGTGGATTCAGAGCCGTCAAAGCCAAGCAGCTTTTGACCTATACGTTTTCTTCCCCGGTAGTTTACCTGGCCAGAATTCTTGTCGTCTAGCGAGGTGAATGTGGAAGACTTCTGGTCCACAATGGAGACGGAAGTGATAGAGCAGGTGGCGTTTCCTTCTAGCATCCCGATCACCAAGTTTGATGCCTCTATTGTTGCTCCTTTCTTCCCACCGCTGATGAGAGGGGCGGTGGTTGTCAATACTGAGAAGGACAAGAACCTTGATGCCCAGCCAGTGCCAGGTAACTTACTCAATGAGCTGGAGGCCCCTGGGTACCTTCAGCAGTGGTGGTGCACTTCTTTTTCTGTAGATGTCTTTTGGAGAGAATTGTGAAACAGCAGTTCTTAAAAAGAGATGCTTTAGATCCTCCAGTCCTCAGTGGGGCCTTAGGTTAGCTTCTGGTATTTTTGATTATGAATGCCATGTTTGGACTTGGGTCTGCCTGGGATCTGATGGACTCGGGATGCCATTAAAGCCGAGGAAATGCTCTGTATCCCAAGTACAGTTCAGTGCTGAGGATTTCATGTGGGCATTAATCACCTGGGGCTTATGGACTTAAGTGTTCTGTGTTCTCTATCTTGAAAACTGGTATTTTACAGCTGCAGATGGTTCTTGTGGCTGTGCCATTTTTGAGATGCTAACAGAGGTGTAAGAGGTCTGTAACGGACTTGGAGAGGAAAAGGTCTAGCAATTGATATCATTGCTATAGTACACTCATCTAAAATTTATTGTGGGTTAATACTGTTAATATGTTGGCTCAGAACATCCTGTATGTTGGAGTCAGATATCAGAATCATTCACTCATGGCTCCTTGTTAAGAGCTGGGTTCACTCTGAGTAGCTCTTTGCTTAGTAGATGGACACACATGCAGATGCACCGAAGCTTGCACCTCTGCCTCCCTGGGCTTAGTCCCTTGTATGGAGCAGCGCTGTTTAGCAGAAAATGAACCGTTGACTTCTTCATTCCTGAGTTGCTTTCGGAAGGGAAGCTCAGCATGTGGCACGTCTGAAGGAGAGAGACGCCGGCAACCAGTTTTCAGAGGGAACCAAAACAACAGTATAATTGTGGACCCGAAGAAGTTCAGGCTGCCCAGCATCCCGCCAACAGCTGTAGCTGTACCAGCTGGCCCAGGAGAGGGCCTCTGCAGTTGCATGGCGGAGAAGCAGCAGGCAGGCCACTGCAGACAGGGGCCTTGTGGGCTCCTGAAGTGTTAGGCTGAGAGCTGCAGAGCCAGCTCCAGGGTGTAAGTGGGGGTTGTATAGCAGTGCTGATGCTGCAGATGTGGGTCTTGGACTAAGGGGTTTCAGAATATTGAAGGGGACTGAGCGCGCTCATTGGGACAATCTGGCCCTGCCAGTTTCTTGAACTGGTCCCTGTTAAATATTTTGATTTTAATTATAAAACTCCCAGAACCTCCCCAGAAAAGCACCCAGCTGCTGGCTTGGTTTGGGGTGAGGCTGGCCATCAGCTTCTTAGAGGCTGGGATGGTTCATGTGATCCACTGCAACCGCCCACTTCTGAAGAACTGACTGAACGACCTCTTCCCTTCTGAGGGTATGTGCTGAGTGCTTTTTCCTTTGGCAGGTAATGCCAGTGCCTTGGTGAGGCTGCTTCAGGATGAGACCTGCAAGCTGGAGCAAATTGGCTCCTACGATGAGGAGCAGCTGCGGGACTTTCTGACACAATGTGGAGTGCCCTGGGAAGCAGCAGATACAAAGGTAATAGGATTGTTCCCCACGCACCAGGTCATGCCCCCCTGTCATCTTCTCTTCGATTGGTAATGTGTAGAGTACTTTTTGCTCCACTGTACTAAGGAGATGGGTGGATCAGAGATCATAAGTCCCTGCTGTTTGCAGGTTGACTGACACACAGTTAAACAGTCAACCCTTGTGGGTTAGAGGAAGAGAAGCTTGTAATTACCTTGTCATGGGCTCCTCCTCTTGGAGACGTGCATCTTCCCTGTTGTACTCAGCATGAAATTAAAAGCTTGTTAGCATATGTTCAAGCAGGACTTGTGTGAGATGGCACTTAGCCAGGCCCTTTTTTTTTTAGGAGACTCCTGGGCCTTCATTCTTTATTTAAATGCAGGCCTTTCTCTCTGTGTTTTGCCTAGGACCAGCTCTGTTACTCTCTCCTGGCCCTCTATGACTTTGTGCTAAATGGGACAAGTGCCAAACAAGTCTCAGCCCAGCACACGGGAGGCAAAATCTACAAAGTGTGTCCACACCAGGTAAGGCAGGTTGGAAGCTGCCATCTGTTTGCTTGGCAGGTGTGAGTGACAGGTGCTTTAATCAGTGGTTTACACATCATTTGCACAGGGAAAGATATTTGTCCCCCCTCTCCTGGAAGTATAAACAGGAGACTGATAGTGAGTGGAGGGGAATATGGGATTCTTGTTCTCCAGCTCTTTTCAGGGGATATCAAGGTGACTTGGTCTTAATAGTCCCAGAAAGCAACATTTTTTTTTTTTTATTTTATTTTTTTTTATTTTTTGAAGAAAAGAATGCAAGGTTGGGGTGAGTGAGAAGGTTCCTGACTATGCCACAGAGGTGGGATTAAAAATTATCCATCTCTGCATGAGTCACTGTTGACTTGTGTGGGGAGGAGACAAAACTGAGGGGGCACTGAGTTGACCAGCTAGTTAAGAGAAGTTGTGACCATTACACTTGAAAGTGGGAGTTTTTAAACAAATATTTTGTTCTCTTTAGGAATTTTTGTTTTGGGTTTAGTGCAGTGCAATGCCCCAAAATTGCCAGTTTGTTTTTCTCTCTCCTTCCTAGGTGGTGTGTGGCTCGAAGTACATCGTGAGAGGGGAAAGTGCCCGGGACCACGTGGACCTGCTAGTCTCCTCACGCCATTGGCCTCCTGTCTACGTGGTCGATATGGCCTCTGCAGTGTCATTGTGTGCAGACATCTGCTGCCCTGACCTGACTTCCCAGATGTGGGGAAAGAACCAGGGATGCTTCTCTGACCCCCTGGAGCTGCCAGCGGTTAGTTATATTGCAGTCCATGCCATCTGCCAGGCTGAAAGGAATTTTCAGCATTGGTACCGGTCTTGTGTCATCTGCAGCTATGACCCTGTGGGGTGACTTGGCATCCTTTTATTATTAGGCTAATTCTAGAGTGAGGCTGCAGCTCTCTGCCTTTTGGGAGGTCTCAGACTGATGACAGGCATGTGTCATGACCTGTCCAGTGTTGTTACTTTTACTGGTACATTCCTCCTGGGAACAGTTACAGGCAATACTTGCTGCTATTGCAATTCACACGTGTTCTCTTACACATGCAGTATGCACTGGTGATATGTCTTAGTTGCACAGCTTGTGGATGTTGGAGCATGTGGCCTGTTCTTAAGACAGTGCCTTGAGTCATTCAACAGACATTTTACTATTAGAAAAGCAAGGAAGCTGGAGAGCAACAGGGATGTAGTGATGATGTTTTCCTGCCTATCTGATGGCTCAGCATGGGGTTTGGGATGTATGAGGCTGCCCTCTTGGGGTCTGTGGAGAATACTGACTGTCTGCTTACCCCCTCTGCCCCAGGTCATAATTCTCATCTTTGATTCAAGAAAGAGTTAGGATTTTCCTAGTCTCTTAACAGGTGCGCACTCAGCTGGGTGCATGGGTGTGTGTGTAATATAAAAGAACTCTTTTCCCCTCTTCCAGTATGTGTCCTGCCCAGAGCTGCTAGACAGGCACTACAGTGTGGATATGAACATAACTGAGCACTCTGTCCAGCACCCAGTCACCAAGTCCACAGCCCGCCGAGTTGTTCACGCTGAGGCAGAGGCGAATGCCCAGAGCGACCCAGTGGCCCGGCACCATTCTATCTCCTTGTGTCAGGAGCTGGAGCCTTACAGTGCCATCATCGCCACCCTCAACGACAGCAAAACTAGCAACATTCGCCAAAGGCCGATCACCTTTGACAATGCCACCCACTATTACCTCTACAACCGCCTGATGGACTTCCTCACCAGCAAGGAGATTGTGAACCAGCAGATCCATGAGGTGGTGCAGAGCTGTCAGCCTGGCGAGGTGGTGATCCGGGATGCCCTGTACCGGCTGGGGGTAGCCCAGATAAAAACAGAAATGGAGGAGGAGGAAGAGGAACTCCAGGAGGATGATAAAGAGGCTGCTGAATAAGCTGTTTTGAGCTTAGTTGGTTTATCTCTTTCTGGCCGGGCAGGTAGGGGTGCTGGGGTGGCTTTGGCCAGCTCTTGGCAACTGTCAGGTTTATTTGGGGTAGCTAATTCTTTACACGGAGAAGCTGTGATTACAGAAGGCTTTGACTGCTTACACTGACCAAAGAGCTGTGTGCTTCCTGAGGGCTGTCACTGCTGCCGTGAGCACGAGTTTCCTTAACATCCTTGCAAAGAGGCTGGGATTCCCTGCCAAGGTGATTCTTGGCCCCATCTGTGTGTGGAGCAAAGTGCTGCTCTTGCAGCAGTTGGCTGAGGTGGAGGAAGGAGGCATTTCTAGTCCCTGGGGGTGTCTGAGATGGGAAAGCACGTGGATTTCTTTTCCATCTAGATCTTAGTTTACTGACCTTGTTCATCAATGCAGGGTTGGGTGTGGTGGGGCAAGACTGGAAGGAAAGCAGCAGAAAACAGCACAGGGCTCCCCCCAGACTGTTTTGAATGAATTAGCAGAATACACGGACCTCCCTGCTGTGGGCCTCTGGCTGTGCTCTTAAATGACACATGCTGACTGGTCCTTTTAGCAGCTGAAAGCAGCCAGTAATGTCTAGGTGGCCACCCAGGAGACGCTGGTGCCCAAGGCAAGAACATGCAGTTGTAAGGAGGTGGATGGTGCCATATTGGTGTCCGGGGTCACTGGCAGTGCAGTGTAGCAGCTGTGTGGCTGTGGGAGTGAGTTTCTAAGACAGTGGATCCCTAAACCTTGAGTAATCAATTATTTAGAAGCTGCAGTGCCTAGTGAGCAGACTAGGTGGAAGAAAGAGTTGACAGAAAAGGGTTGTCATTGGTTTGACAAGCCAAGTGATAGCAGGTTTTTTGAAGCTTGAGGTGTGCTGTGTAAGGCAATGATTTTTGAAGCAGAAGAAGCACTTGAGTCCTGGGCACCTTACTGTTTGTTTGTGAGCTGTTGCATCCTGTTTGTAGACTTCGGACAGTGCTGATGATGGCACTGTAATTTGCATACTATCCCTATGACCAAGCTTGAATTGCAATGAACATCTGTGTCTCAGCAGCCAGAGGCCGTGACCATAATGTAAACTCTTCACGGGCCTCTCTGGTTTTACTAATCATTTTGCTTAGGCAGAGTATGGTAGGGAGAGCTGCATCCGCTTATCTCTCTTGGCCCTGTGCAAAGTGTCATATCCCCATCCTGCTCCCCACAAACTTGAAAAACCCAAGTGGGTCTTGTATCCTCCACGCTGCTTTGACTGTTCCTTTTGAGGAGCTTGGCTGAGACCCTTTTCCTTCCAGCATAGTTAAGCAGCTACTTTAAAGCCCATTTGTAAGCTGCTTGCATTGTCCTCTGACTCCCTTTCCTTTGTGCTGGTCATCAGTCGATGTAGGCATCTGCTCCAGACAGGGAGCTGGGATGTCAGGGCATTGGGAAACCAGGACAGAGTTTCCATGAGAGGGCACGGGAGGTTCAGAGATGCATAGTATGAAAAGTCCCTTCTGTGAAGGGGAACCTACTGAGTACCGTACTGTAAAAGTAAATGTATTAAGTCTGAGCAAATTCGGTAATTATGCTTTGGGGTTTTTCTGTTAAGAATGTTAATTTATTAAAGACATTAGTGACTTTTTCAGTCTGTGATAAAGTTTAATAAATTATCTCCAATTTTTTTGAGTGAAACAGCTTGGCTACTTGAGTTTTCGTTGAGATTTAGACATCAGGAAAAGGTTTTGTGCAGTTTGACAGAGATATGTTGTTTGCAGTTGACAGGTGAAAAGCCTGCCAACATTTCACATCCACATGGACTTCAGGCCAAGGTGAGTTAGAGAAGTAAAACTTGGTTGTCTCAGTCCTGTGTTTTGAAAGGAGTACATATAAAGTCCCTGGGCTCCACACCGTAGCAATGAATCTGAGTCTTTCAGAATAAAGCTGGTCTGTAAATACAACTCCTTGTATCACCTTTTAAATAAAAATTCATCACCTTGCGTAGGGGGGAGCAAAAAGCAAAGAGTTTGGGTCAAATATCTTCTTTTCCGCTGGACTTCAGAATCTTTCTTCCTCCCCCAAAATGGTGTTCTTTATTACTGGACTAGAAAATTAAGCAGAAAGTGATGGTTGACTTCATTGTGTGAGTGGTTTAGAATGATTTTTAGGAGCTAGAGTTTGGTTTGCTCCAAGTGAACCCCAGATTCTGATTCATTCCTTTCAGCAGAGGTAGACAAGGGCAAAAGCAACAAGAGTGATGTCATGTGAGAAGAAAGTGCTTGACGGCTGTGTAGCCAAGACATGGCGTGGGCTGAGGAACTGATCTCATGCCTGCAACTGAGCTGTTAATGAGCAGACTTTGGAGGGAGGGGATAGAAATGGTGGCAGAGGCCATGTTTCACCCCACTAAGGGAGTCCCTAATCGTGCTTTTATTTCTAGCTGTGTAGCTTGTATGCTGCAGAAGAGATCCTGAAGAAGAGGGAGGTAATAACATTGCGTTTCATAAACTGAATTTATGGCCACCAGAGTGGTGGTAGCCTGCTCCTTCCAATAGTGTACTGCTGTTGTGATGCAGCCATTCTACACAACATGATGCACGGGCACATACCGGTCTCCTGTCTTCCCAAATGTCTTAACCCTTTAGTCAAAATATACTGTGGTGGTTTTCCCTCCTCCTTTTGCCATTGCTTCACCTCCCCTGCTTAGGCTGCTTGAATCAGTTTGCCACTGTTCAACTGCTTAAGGAATAGCAGCGAAAGGTTGAGTTACCCAGATAATTCTGAGAGCACCTGGTAACGCCTTGTATGACTGCCTTGGTTTCACCCTTTTCCTGAAGTGAGCACTGGAGAAGGAAAACCTTTTATGAAAAAAATAGAAATGGAGCATTGCTTTGTTCATCACATTAGTTTATTATAAGGCTGACAAATGGAAAAGCGTTAGATTTTATTGAACTAGAAGGAAATCATTCCATATTAACAGCATGTGTACAGTTTAATTGGAAATTGCCCTGAAATTATTGGCAGTAGTTCAGCAAAGGCTGAGTTAGTTCATGGATTAGTTCCTAGTAGCTATCATTTAAGCCTATCTCAGTGCATCTATAACTAGTACTAATACTCTGCTATACAGTTGATTAAGGCTAATGTTCCTAATAGCCTCTTTCCATTACTGTTTGTAAAGACTACAGACCTGGCTGCTGTGTATCGTTAGCAGGGATCTTGGTTTTCCGTGATTAAAAAAAATCACAAATTCTCTGATAAAACCCTCAAAATCCGTGATTAAAATTAAATGCCCCCCCACAGCCCCTGCCCCCAGCCCTGCCAGAGGGGACCCCAGCGCGGCAGCGCACAGGGGGACATGCACGAAAGCTGCTTGCTGCTGCGAGCTCCGTGCTGCCCTGGCCACGTTTCCCCTGCAGGTGGGGACTAGGAACGGAACCCTATGCTGCCCCCGTGCACACAGTGGAAGTGTGGCCAGGGCAGCTTTCCTGCACGGCCTCACTGTGCCCTGCTGTGCCAGTCGTGCACACTGTAATTTGGAGGGCAGCAGGGCGGGGAGTGCAGCGTTTGCAGCTGACCGGGCACTCTAGAGGGGGGAGGACTGCCCAGCCAGCTGCAAACCCACCCCCCGCCCCTGGCCAGAGAGCGCCCAAGCTGGGAGTGGGGAGGCTGCAAACCCCTCCTGGCTGGAGTGCCCGGCCGGCTGCAAACCTCCTTGCTCCCTCAGCCCCCAGCCAGCTTCCCCCAAGCCCCACTTACCTCCAAGAAGAATAAGCCTGAAGCAGCCTCTAGTAAGTGTGAGCGTTGGGCTCCACCCTTCCCCCTCTGCCTTCCACTCAGGGCAGGGTTGCGGGGTTTCCTTGCCCCTTTTGCAAGCAGCTCTTGCAGGCTGGAACTCAGCCAGCCTGCAGAACTCTTTGCAAAAGGGAGAAATCCATGGGTTTCTCTGCTAAAAGAGAAAATCCGCGTTTTCTCCGATTAAAAATGGGAAATCCATGGTTTTCTCTGTTTTTTCCATGGGGAAACGGAAAACCCGGATCCCTGATCATTAGTAACCCTGAGTAAAAAGAATGGAAGATCAAAAATATATTCTGAGGGCATTAGGCCCTAGCTTATGAAATCTTAACTACCTTACCAAAAATGTCAATACCTACATTTAAAAAAAAAAAACCCTATGGTTCTGCTATAGGCAGTGAGTTGCTGCATTTCTTGTTCAGCGGTTCAAATGCAGTGCAAACTGCAGAATGCTGATCAGTTCCAGGTCAAAATAAAGCTGTTGTTCCTTCCTGGGTTGGGATTTGTATTCCACGCCCACTTTTAAAGAGTTAATGATTCAAGGAGGCTCTTAGCTCAAGAAAGTGCTCTGTTCCTTGTCTTCTCACCCTGCTTTAGCCTAACAATGGCTGAAGAATGCCTCTCTGCTCTCAACTGGGTTTGAGGGGAGAGGGGCGTCTTCCAGTTAGCCAGTTAATGCTGAAAAAGCTTCTCTCTCACGGTTACTGTAATACCTGTGTAGGAGAAGGGCAGGTCTAGTGAAGAAAAAAGGTAGGCTGTTTCCATCTCTAAAAGTTAGGGCTGTCCCAGAAAGCAGGTTGTGTTGAGACGGGCATGAAATTAAACTGCAATCCTCAAACCACTTGCATACAAAAATGCACAGAATTCTTTGTACACGCACAGCCGTACAGAGCATACACATCCCCACGTGCCAGCTTACAGATCTGACTCTGGAGAGACTGCTTGCTTTGTTTTTTGGCTTGTAGGAACTGGATAGCATGGATTTGCAGTGGCTGGTCAGGAAGACTTAACCAGTGTGCCCATATGTTACCGGCATTGGTCAGTCAGTGAGGATGACAAACATGATCCCTATATGGATCACGGCTGAGTCTCAGCTTTTTGCTCCTACCGTGATGGCTCTTCAAGGGGGGAATGCTGTAAATCTCTCATATTTCAGAAAGCACCGCAATAAGAAGACTTGGCACGAGGAGCCTGCCTTCCAAGCAAAGTCCTCTGCAAAGGTGAGTGGAGAATAGGGACATATCCCTGGTGACCATACAGCCTTAACAGAACTGGTAATTGTTGCTGTTCAGAAGGGGCTGACTGCTCTCTCCTTGATCGCAGGACTCCTCGCAGCAGCTGGAGGGTTCGCACCCACTGTCTTCCTCTGCGGGGAGGTTTATGTAGTCCTGAAAGCAAAGAGAGGCCAAGAGCTTTAGTGCACCCCTCCCTAGTTCTCCATCAGTTGTCATTGTGGAAATGTTACTGCTCATTTCATATTTGCTTAGATTAATTTTGGAATTTTCCAGCCTTGTCTTGACTGAAGAGGGGCAGAATACCTCCTTCAGCAGGAGTGGGGAGCATGGAGGAGCTGCCCTGAGGGTTGAGGCCTTAAAGGTCCAGTCCGCACGTAAGCCATTGAGACTGTATTTACCAGAGACGCTGCATCCTGCAGTCTGACTGGAAGTCCTGCTCTGCACAGGAGAGCAGGGCAGCCCTGGCACTGGGAAGCTCGTGTCTCCCCACCTATGCATGGGCTTAACTTGCTGTGCAAATCTTTAGCATTTGATTTGCAAGAAGCTCCTGACCAGGTAAAAGAAGGGAGCTGCTGCCAACTGGCAGTGGCTTGTAAATGCTGGGGTACATCTGAGCCTCTCTTCCTTCCTTTGTCCACACATCACTGTGTGAAGCTTCTCACCTGCTCCTTGTTGACTTCCAGTTGCTTCTGAATGAGATGGCAGATTTGGTCGAAGGTCGGCCGCTGCGTGGCTTGCAGGTTCCAGCACGCTTGCATGATGCTGTACCTGCAGGGTTGAGAAGCAGTGATGAGTCTGTTAATGCTCTGAGCGTTTCATAATCTGTTTGCTCTGGGCCCTTCCAAGATGCCAGGATGGGATTAGCCCACTTTGTCTTTCTGTAGGACCTGGAGGACTAGCAAACCTCTAATATTCCCATGCCTCTAGTAAGAGCAACGCTGATGTCTTTGCATGTGTTCGAAGAGGCTTTGTTAGTACTGGTATGAAAGCTCTTGTCTCTTGTCAGGTGGAAGATACTAAAGGAGAGCAAAAAGCTGCCTCTTTCTAACAGCCTGAAGACCTGACGTAAGGTGCACTTGGGCCATGCATACAGACTTTCCCATATAGCCAACAGGACAGGAGCAAGTTATAGGAATGTTTGTGGCTATCCATGGCTGTTACTATATTTAAAAAAAAGAAAAAATCTCCCTTTATGTATGCCAGAGGGGCAGTGGTGCCATGCCAGTGGCTTCTGAGAGGAAACTTAGTCCTGTTTTGGAAGGATCTTGTATCCAGCAGGAGTAATGGTCAGGGACAATATAGCCCTTACTGCCTGGAGCCTCATCTGCCCCCCCCACCTCTTTTTGCTCCCCATCGCATATACACACTTACATTTCCAAAGGAGCGAAATCTGGCCTGGCCATCTGGTATCCCAGCTTCACCATGTTGTAGAATTTGCTATTCACTGCCATGCCTGGGTACGGGCTTTTACCTGCCAACACAAGAACCAACATGTTGAGCAAAGGCAGTGGTGAGAGATCGAGGTCCCTTCCAGCCCTAAACTTCTGTGAATCCTCATCAGCCAGTCTTGCTGCCTGACTTAAGCAGTGCTGGAGGAGTTTGCCTTGCCCGTTTCTCTTGCTGAGGAAGTTTTGCGGCAACAAGAATTTGTCACGATCCAGTGATTTTTAC